TCACGGATATATTGGTTTGACAATTCTTTTCAAAGTGTGCTATTTTTGTGCTAAAAAAATCCTCGAATATAAAGCATTTCTTGCATTTATGGATGGATTATAAACACACATTAGACATTACAGGTTCCTGATGCATGTCATTTTATTTTTCAGATTGGATTCAAAATGGCTGACTGGCGGCCATTTTGTTTTAATGATTGGGCTTCTAGAGCTATATCTCTTAAATGCTTTGACTGATTATATTCAGATTTTATATATTCGTTATACATCATGTTATATATATACATGTATTCAAAATGGCTGATTTTGAATGCTGTTCCAGAGCAATATTTCTCAATATGGACAAGTACTTGTTTGACGATCAGATACAAATGTCAATCATTTTAATGTTAAAAAAATCATATTCCTGACATGGTTATATTCAAGCTATATTACTATAAACATAACTATATATCTTAAATTTGATAACTAACGGGGACTGTGCCATGCATGGCTTGTTTATTCATGTGCTCAAGTCGAAAATGAGAAGAAAAAAAATGCGGTCTTCTGACAAATCATCAACATACAATATTCAAAAATGTCATGGAAAATAGTCAAAATAGATATTTTTACACTGGTTTCCTTGGTGAGATTCTTTCTTATCTGACAGATTTTGCATAATTTCAATAGTCTTTCATAAAATAGAATGGGAAGTTCTTTTCTACAATGCAGTAACATGCTCAGTAGTGCAAAAATTTAAAACTGGCTTGAACTGCCTTAATGTGCTACTACATGGCTCAGTTTCAACTCTAGGTGGCACTGTTTGGAAGAATGCAGTACTGACATCTGGTTTTAATAAATAAAACCTGTAACCCATGCTTAATACTTAATATTTTTTACAAAACATGATGTGAACTATATTATATGTTTGATTTGAAATTACCATTGATATTGATATATTTATGTTTCTGTTTTTTTCACAGGGGAGTCCTTTTTCAGACTATTTTTATGTGACAACAGGAGCTGGGCCTCCAGATGCACCGTTGGAGCCAAGTTGCATCTGTAAATCACCACATATAGTTATAGTCAGTTGGTATACACCATGTGGTAATGGTGCTGAAATTACAGAGTATAGATTAGAATGGGCAACCACTGAAGGCACATTTACACATGTAAGAATTCCAGTATCTCTAGTAAATCAAACTAATGAAGTCTAGTTTTTAAGTTATCAAATCATCACAGAAGTTAACAAAATATTTAGGGGGATTGGGTGATGAAATTTGATTCAAAGTAACTCTTAAATGCCTGTATGCCATGTCATGCACGTTTTTTGAAACAACTTGGATACAGTTCGAAAACTGGGACTTATGGATTGGCCTTTGTGCATACATTTGTGCGTCCATCTGTCTGTCTGTGTCCACCTCTATCTCAGACATACTTCAGCCAATTCAAACTAAACATATACATCATATATCTTGGGATGCATATGCACATCCATTTTTTTCACGGTTTGATTCAAGATGGTCGAATGGTGGCCATTTTTATGCCTAAAATTCATGAAACCATGCATCTCTGCCATCTCTGAGCCGGATCTTGGTAGTGTATTGATAGATTTCGTTCAAACTTTGTACATACATTGGATATACTGAGACTTTGATGCACATTTTGTTTTAATGAATGCTGTTCCAGAGCCATATCTCTGACATGCCTTGACTGATTGCATTCAAACTTTACACTTACATTTAATTGTAAAACTACAACAACTACAGTTTTGTTCACTATTGAATTTCAGAAACTCTGTCGTCTTATGACATGACATATTTTTATTTTCATTTGCGTTACAGTATGTCAATGACCTTGGCTTAAAAAAATATCCTATATTTCTTTTTTTCAGCATTACATTGGACCATTGCTTAGCCATGAAGTCAAAGGTCTCCAGCCAGCTACATATTATTACTTCAGAGTGCAAGCTGTCAACAGTGCTGGTCCTGGACAGTTCAGTGCTGTTGCAACTTGTGTCACTTCCCCCTCCTCGCCTGGTGCTGTTACACATTTAGAACTTCTAGCCCACACTGCCAACTCTCTTCGTGTGCAATGGAAAGAACCCAACAATTACGGTTCAAAAATAACCTCTTACAATGTAGATATTGGTGATAAACAACCGCTTACTGTTGCCAGTAATGTCACTGAAAGGCTAATTGAGGGACTTGTACCTGATACAAAATATAGGTAAGAATCACTTACTGGTATTTGTTTTCACCACAAACTAAATATACATGTACCAGATTCGGCTGATACCCCGCCCTGGACAATCTTATTGAGGATTTGATTTTTTTTAGAAAAGTGTGGACCAAAAAATCGCCCAGGGTGATGTTATGACAGATATTTCGAAGCCCATCTTGTCTGGAAAAATAACCCTGGTGCTGATAAAAGTGGAGGAAAAACAATGGCGACGGTCGGACTACCCATAATGTTTATTCTTTGTCTGTATCGCATTTCAGACAAAAAGTTCAAGATCGGTAAACAAAAAAGCCGTATCCAGTCGATAAAGAAAATCATCAATATTGTTTTGTATGATCCTCTTTACACTCATTTTGTCAGCAAGAAAAACCTTAGTTATACAATCAAGGAACAAATGAGCCTGAATAGAATAGAATGTTATTTCTATTAATAACCTCATAATAACTATAATAATGTTGATTACAATATGCAGGATACGAGTACAAGCAGTTAACAGCATTGGTGTTGGGCACTACAGTCCCTCATTAAAAGTATACACCTTACCACTACCACCTAATCCTCCCAAACTAGAATGTGTCCTACACGGTCATCAGAGTCTCAAACTCAAATGGGGAGAGAATTCCAAATCAATTGATGCCAAACTACTCAATTACACATTGCAAATGGAAGACAGAAAAGGGAGGTAAGTGTAATAGTAACTTTTACTTGTCATTTTTAATGTTATGACTATTATATTAAAGAATAAAACAATACTAGTACATGTACATTCCAGTTCACCACCTAAATGATTATATTTTTTAGGTTTAATATTGTGTACTCAGGGTCCAGTCTCACCCATAAAGTCAGTAAACTTAGTGAATTAACAGAATATAAATTTCGAATATTTGCCACTAATGAAGCTGGTAATGGACCTATGTCTGAAATATTTAGTACTTCAACTAGCAAAGCTCCTCCTCCAGTACCCAAAGGTAAGATTTATTTTTAAACAGACTCTTGCAGTGAAGAGAAAAATATACACTTTTATGAAATATCCATCAAGGATGAATGGTAGCAAATATAAAATATAGTACATGTGTGTATATCTGAATTCTAATACATGTAACTTTGAACAAAATAGCTTTGATTATTTTTTATTGCTATATTGACATTTTGTAAATTTGTGTGAACAAGTCTAGTTCAGTTTATATTTGAGTTAGATTCCCAAAGAATTTGATAATTTATGTTTATTGCATTTAACTAAATTTATAAACATTTATTTATTAATCATTACTACTGTAAATCATTTATTTTCACTTAAATTTAATTTCACTATTTGGATATTTTGAGCATATTTACTGGGGTCTAATTTTACTTGGGAAACAATGAGTTCTATTGTTTTTAGCTCCGCTGTCGACTTTGTCGAGCGGAGCTTATCATATGAGTGATT